ACTACGATGTCGGCCACGTTGCGAAAACAAGGTCAAAAAACCTTTAGATTTTGTCATGAGATGGTATCTGATAGTTTGATAGTCAACTACTGGTAGTCTCGAAGCCTTCTTATATCGTAATTTTTGAGTAAGAATATAGTCGCAAAAGATAGGGAAGTTTTTCTCACAATAAGATGGCTAGGCCTTATGGTTCCATTGAATTAACCTTGCCTTCTGAAAGGTCTTTCTATCCGGAGTGGACTGCAGGTCACACCTCGTCCAGGCCTGCATTAACACCCCAACAAAAATCGAAACCGGATAGGGCCTGTTGTGACGACGCTTTACCTCTCCATTACACTGCTATTAATGCCAGATACAAGGTAAGCTAAACCTCTCCAAAATCACATTTATAGTTTGAGCGTCATTCAGGTAGACGTATATTTGCCATTACAATCTACTACATCACTTAACTTGAGTAAGAGAGTTTCGAAACTATTAATAATTCTTCACTCGTTCGAAACTGTGTCAAACTTGGATCAGAATTCTTGGATTAGGGCGTCGAATTATGCACTAACTTTGCTACATGACGTGAATAAGGGAGCTAAAATGGTACTAATAGACCTCAATTTGTGACTTTGTTGCTTTTTTCTCAACAATTTAATCTTAAAAGAAAATTGATATAGTGGTAAAGACTTTCATACAAAGTCAAGACCCATTGTTAGCATAGGGCCCTAACGATGCCTGTCAAGTGGCATGATGAACGAACGTTGGGCCTCTTTTGCACCAAAACGAGGAAGGAAGTCTCGTGGACTGCGTCAACCAGAATAGTGTATTAAAGGCAAACGGCTACAGGACAACCCCGAGGTCAACCTACAAATCTCTTCATAAGGCATTTTCATGCGAAATAAAAGTTTTCACAACAATGTTATCCCGGAAGATTAATCAAAATCCAATTACTTTCCGTATGAAGAGGGCTAGTTGATAAGAGGTTTGGTTCACTTGTCCAGGAACGCATCAATTTTTTACTGCAAGTTTATATCAAAGGACGACATCATCTTCTCCCTAACCATATCCAGAAGCTGAAATATGTCTATTGAGCTATACTTACATAACTGCATTTCTACTGTGTAGAAAGTCTTGTTCAGTAACTTTGCAAGTTCATTTCATAGCCGGAACATGACTCAAACTGTAGATTACCA